AAATATGATCGACAATGAACGTTATAAACGTAGTGTTTTAAATAAAATTAAGAAACCTACATATGATCCATATGCCGATGAAAATTTCGACGAATATGGATTTCCTAAAAATAAGATTTTAGAAAAGTATGATGAGGAAATTGATGGTGAAAAAAAAGACAATTTCGTGTTGGGTGCTAATAATGCAGGAGAATTTAAACGACGTCAAATAGAGACAGTGAAGCAACGCTTGGCAAATAAAAAATTAGAAACGCTACAAATGGCAGAACCAAAATTAGCGAGTGAATATTACAATGAAGAAGAACTTGCAAAATTCAAGAAACCAAAGAAGAAGGTAGAAAATTGCTTTCTAATGTGTTTGTACATATAGTAGATTAATATTCTTTAGATACAGAGTTACTTGATATGGCTATATATTTGATACATTTTGTATTCATAATTTATTTTTAAAATATATAACGTTCTCTGCAATATCAAATAATATATAATATAATTACAGATTCGGAAAATTAGAACGAAAAAGAAATTGAAAGCAGATGATTTAGTCCCTGTGGACAATGATTATCTTCGAGATCTTGGAAGTAGGAGAAGAAAAAAACCGGAAGATTCGAAGGATAATGATACTTTAGATGTCGATGATTTAGAAGGTAAAGATATTTAAATGAATTTATAAAAATTAAGGATAAAAAAGTGATGCTTATTTGAATATTAGGTATTTGTAAATTGTAAGTATAATTTAATTATGTAATGAAACATATTTCTACTTATTTCTATTTGATTTTTGTCAGTTCTTTGTATGGTATATGTACATTGTTAAATTATATATATGTATATAATTCTTTGTGTTCGATATAATTTTTATGTTTTTCAATTTGTTATGTATTGATAATAAGTTGTATTATTTGTTCGATTTATTAAAATTATTGGGAACAGCTCCTGCAGAAGATCTTACTGGAATAAAACTTGAAGAAGATGATAAGGAATTAGACTTACAATTGGCTTTAAAGAAAACTCAACGTTTGAAGGAGGGACATTCAACTGGCATCCAGAAAACTATTGAAACAATAAAACACGAGATTCTTAACTCTGAGGAAAGTCAATCTGGAAATATTGTTCTTAATTCTACTGCAGAATTTTGTAGGACCTTGGGTGATATACCCACTTATGGACTCGCTGGAAATAGAGAGGAAAATGGACAGGAACTCATGGTATACAAAACATAACATATTTTTGGTTAATTGTAATAGAATATTGTTGCATTTTGAATATAATATAAATATTGTAGGATTTTGAAATGGATGGAATTAAAGAGGAACCGCCTGCAAACGAAGAAGAAGACGATGGTCGTGGTGCTTGGAATACAGTGCATTTAGGTATTTCATGTGTACTGATGCAAATTAATTTTATATAACAAGTGATAACAGCATATAACAACTAATATATTTCCCTATAAAAAAGAAAAAGAAAACAAATCAATGTATTCTTGCAACTTAAAAAAAATAGAAGTATTTCTTATAATTGTTTTTTTCTTAAATGTAAATTAAATATAACTTTTGCAATTAGATGAGAACATTTCGGAACCAGTTGTAATGGAGGCAGCAATTCTAGATGCCGAGCCGTCACTCGGTCATGGGGTAGGTGGAGCTTTAAAGTTAGCTATGAGTAAAGGTTACTTGCAGAAAGAGGACAGCAATCGCCCTTCAGCGTCACGTTTCGCACATCTGCAAGCTCAGAATTATTCAATAGAGGACAAAACATACGGGTAAGTAAGCTATGTATTACTGCGATTCGATGTATGATGATCTTCTTACGTGTTTCAAGTATGTAGAAACGCGCGAAAGAAACACGTAAGAAAATCCTTATGTCGAATACGCTTCCACAAGCATTGTGTTAGACAAGTCTCTAGTGAATTTCAAACTGTCAGTTAACAGTTTTAAATAGAGCCCGGAAATCGGTGCTCGGAACGGGTGATCCGCTACCACTACGAGAGTTTACCGCTTAATCGGAGGTGAACACAAGGCCTGAGAAGAGAGTAGGATTTGTTAAGGTATGTTTATGTTATGCGATTCCGTTTCTGCGAATCGTGCTAAGATTCTAGATGAGTCTGCTCATGGGGAGAGTCAAATGCTAGATGTTAGATTGCAAAATAAATCGACATAAAAGATGTTCAGGAAAGATTTTCTTGTCTCTGTACATTGTGACTATAATCGTTGTTTATGAACGGTTTGCATGTATCTAACACAAACCAGTATGATGGATAATTTTATGCGGCATCTATACTGTCTATTAGATAGGATTAAAGTTTCTGTCGTCCCTAGACAGTGAATTTTTGTCGCCCCCTCTTCAACTGAGGAACAACTATGTTGGCGAAACTAAAAAAAAGGGTCATCTGCAGGGATTGAGGAACCGTAAAGTTATTTTCTTTTACATAAAAATGAATTTTCAGTGCAAAAATAAAAACAAGAGAAATCTCCAATGACCTTAATCTCAACAAATGTTATCCAGGACATGACCTGAATAACATTCAAGAGGTTTTAGCCGTCGGTCGGATACCTTGCGTAATTCTAATGCCGGCGGTACTATAACTTTCAAGCTTTATAACTCGAAAAGTACTTTATGAAAAATAACTTTACTACAGTGTTTTGAAAAGCTCTTGACACCATATATATCTATTAGATTCTGGAATAAAAAATAGGATCTGCCACTTAAAAAAAATTGCTGTGACCTTGACCTGACCTTGGCGACGCCACCCAAGGTCAAACTGATAAGATCAATAAATAGATTTTTTTGAATACTACAACTTTTGTCTCGAGCACTTTTCTGTAAAACTTATATTTTTCAAAATATTCAAATTTTCCGACTTTTTTGGAATATTTTTTTATTCGCGCTTGTTAAAATGAGTAGAAGCTATTGGAGCATGCGACGCGAGCAAACCTCTAGTGATCAATGAAAAATTTTCTCAATCATTCGCGTGGCAAAAAATGGTTATTTTTTTAGAACTTTTCAAAAAATGCCGCCCTTAGACTATAGTCTAAGTTAGGCTCTAGTGCTAATATGGCACTGCTATAAAATATTAAAATGTCTAACATTTCCGAACGTACTTAGATTTTAAATAAATATAAGAATGACGAAAAGAAAAAATATATTTAGCTTTACATGC